TCATGACCCCTAATTAATTTATATATGACAGTTCCAAGTGTTTTCGAAAAAATCTTCCGGAACCCAAATTCTTTCTTATATTACAGTTCCTAATGTTTTCGAAAAAACGCGGAGTTCTAGGATCAGGAGTTTATGGATAGACCACTTTTACGGATGGTACGGTTCTTTCGAGGACCATTCCGTTATCATATATAGGAACCATGACTTTACTCTGGCTAATTATGAACATTTAACATAATAAAAACGTGTAACGACGCTTTTCGCTTGTGAAAAAAGTAGACGACCCTACTTTCAATCTTTATGCAATTAAAATAATTTACAGAGTCTAGGAACTCTAGAGGCACCACATTTTTTTTAAATTCATTAATAAATGGCTAAGTTATGTCATGGCAAACTTGCTGTTACACGTTTTTCGGGGGCTTCGTAGTCGGCGTAAAGTATTTTACCTACCGTATTCGGAGTGTTAAGAAGATTTGAAATTTGCCTAAACTATATATTGTATACATCAGAAATTTTATGGCTTCGATTGATTCATTATTATGTTAACCATGAGTTGTTCTTTTTAGTTATGTAATTGGCATGGAAACCATTTCAAACATGAGCAGTTCTTTGGAGTTTTGATGTTCTAGCTATAATTGGGATTTTGGCATAGCAAATGCAGCTAGCCATCAAGTTTAGAAAAAAATAGTTTTTTAATAATTTTAGGAGATTTTTCCTTCTTTAAAACATGAGCAGTTCTTTGGAGTTTCAATCAAATTCAAATTCAATCTGCAAATGCGCAGCAAATGCAACTTATCATAAAACTAAGACCAATCAGAATTTAAAATATTAAAATATTTAAACATGAACAGTTCTTTGGAGTTTTGATGTTTCAGTTATTTTTTACCCAGCAAACGCAGCTTGTTATAAAATTAAGATGTTAGTTCCATTAGGTTGCAAATATTCGTTTCAGCTAAAACAATTTTTTTTTTCTGATTTATGAAATAATTAGATGCTATGATCATATTTTGTATTGGTAAGATACAAAAAGGGGTTGCAAAAATACGTTTGACACATTAAACTTGTTTATTTCACTTAATGAGAGCCACAATCAGCGATGTTTCTTGCATTCAATTTCAACTGCTTATACTTCAACCATATACTTAGAGAACGCAAATCTTCATTCAAGTGTAAAACGGCATCACCTAAATTCTTAGCTGCAATGAATAAAGCAGTATCATCTGCAAAAAGATTAATGTCACAAAATTGTAAAACACGTCGCAAGCCATTAATATACATAATAAATAACAGGGGCCCTAATACACTTCCCTGGGGCACTTCAAGGTTAATCCCCACGGGACTGGAAACAGAATCATTAAAAACAGTCCGTTGAGTTCTGTCAGACAAATAGCTTTCAAACCATTTATATGCAGTACCCGTAATTCCAAAGCGCTTGATTGATCTTAACAATAAGGGCCTAGAAATTGTTTCAAAAGCGCGTTTAAGATCCAAAAAACAGCAACAATCGTATCTTTGCACTCCAATTTATTTCTCCACTTTGCTAATACCAAATTCAACGCGGTTTCACAAGAATGACCTTCGCGATATCCCGATTGTTCTGGTATCAACAAACTAAAACTATTTAAATACTCCAACAGCTGGCCTTTAACAACAAGTTCTAAAATTTTCTCTAGTGTGTGCAACATGTTGATGGGACGAAACTCTCCGGCTTTAATCGTTCCAGCAACTGTTTGAATAGGGACCACTAAGGATTCCTTCCAAATTTGTGGCACATGTCTAGTTTGTAATGATTCATTAAGATGTGGTCAATGACATGAAAGCAATCTTGAATAACTCTAGCATTATCATTATCTACTCCAGCTCTACTCTAATGTAATTGGGTGAAAAACTTCAAATCTACAACTACTCTTAGAACATTGCTGAAGTTTCTGCAAATTCCCTGAGTTTGTCGAAAGTAATTTAAAGTTTTTTTTTTAACTGCCCTTAAGCGCCACCCACATTAGATCCGTTTGCCGTCAATTTGACAGTTCTATAATAGATTTAGCTTCAAGTCGACGATGACATGAGCACATACCGTGGTAGAGGTAACAATAGCTGCAATTTCCAAACCTACGACTTGATGCCTTCCTTCAGATAACAACTTAAGTGCCGTAAAAATCGATAGAACTGTTTCAAACACATCGTCGGTACTTGAGCGTGTCGGTGATCATCTCTTTTTGCCAGTGGTGGCGGGGGAGAATACCCCTCACCATCCCTCTCAAACGGGGGAGTTTGGTAAAGAGAGATGATCAAACCGATTTGTACCTTCCTAAAGTTGTCCTTGCTCGCTTTCTACCCTCTATATGCAATTTTCACACTGCCTTACTCTAACGGAACTATCAATTCTATACTTTCATCTCCTCATCTATCGTATAAAAATTACCACTTTAGTCTGTTATTTGAAATTAGCATCTTCAACTATGTAAATCGTTGACTTCACGCAGAAGTAATTCTAAACATCTGGTCAAAGTAATTTAATCTTCCATGAAATTCTCTGGAGTTCTGTGAGGTTCCCAAAATATTTATGAAGTTTTCTCATGTTCTTTGAAGCTCTCTTAACTTCCCTGATAAGAAGGTTCTGGATTTTGGTTTCCATAACTCTCAAGGAACTGTCCTGAATATATCGGAACTCACGCTTACAGAGCGTTAAACTCTCCCTAAAGTCTGGACTTTTCTCTAGTTCTCGAAGCATTGAAATTGCTCTGGAATTGGAACTGATTTCTGAATTTCCCTAAAGATATGTTGATCTAGTCGCTCTGAGGTATTTGGAAATTATATAAAAGTTCCACCATTTTCCTAAAGCTTTCTCTACATCCCTGGAATTCTCTTGACTAACCTGGAGCTCTCTGGATATACCTGAAATTCTTAGTACTTCTTAAAAGTTCCGCCAATTTTCCTGAACCAAATGGAACCACCTTAAAATTCTTGGCATTTCCTTTCATCTATCAGAACTTCTTTAAAGTTTCTACAATTTTCGCGAAGGACTGCTCTGAATACATTTAATCTTTCCTGAAGTTCTCGCTATTCTTCTGATGATGTTTCTGCAATGGCGCTGAAATAAATTGACAGTGTTAGGAAAAACTCAAAAACTAAAATCTCACATTCAAAGTGTTTTTATGTTACTTAATACGTGAAGTTTACGATTTTCAGAGTTGGTTGGAAATGCTATCTAACATGAAGCTTTACTGTGATTAGAGAAATCTCTGAAGAGGGTAGGTGGATAGTTCCGCTAGAGTATGGCAGTATGAAAATTGAATAGAAGCTGAAAATGAGCGAAGGGCCATTAATGCGACAGTACTAGTCAAACGCACACTTCTTCGCCTAGCTCATACAATGTATGAGGAGATTTGAAGTATTTCTTCAAATCTACAGGCCGCAATTTTACAACACCCCCCCCCCCCCCCCTCTCCATAGTAATCTCAATAGGCAATCGAAAATTATTGCATGCATTTTGGTGCGCAGCTTTTTTAAGAAGAGCACATTTTTCCCTTGTTAATATTGATTAAAAATAATGATAATTAGGAATCTGTTTTCGGAGCTGGTTACTCATAGAGTAACCAGTGAGTAACAATCATGACAGTCTCTTGATATTTAATAACTTTAGAGTCACATTGCTTGCTCGGTTACATCAATAACTCGATCATAAGTGGTGTGATGTTGAGGGGCTCGGTGGTCTTAGAGCAACCATTTTTATTTACTGAGCAGACGATCATGGTTTTATGGTACCGTTCGGTCTGCTTCAAACCCAAAAATGTTATTCAACATCCCCGATTCACTGATTTCTGCTCCTGCTTCAGTGATTTGGACCATAACTTCTACCACCAAATTCCATGTTCCAAAAATTAAGCCATAAAATCCTACTTTTCACTTCATCACAACGACCACAACACCTCCCTTTCCTTTTAACCTAAATACGAATAATTTTACCATTGGATTAAAGCTGACTTTGATGCTGCTTTTATATCCCCCCTTCCACGGCGATTGTGTCTTAAAATCCTTTGACAAATCACTCCTGCCTCTTCACAGCTTGAAGCCATCCGATCCGTCGTCGCTGGCAGAAAAGAAAAGACGTAGAAAATCCACGCCCTTTCCCCCATCCCAGCAACGGACACTCGTTAAGCTTCTTCCCCATCGCCGTCACGTGATACTCTCCCTTGGGGCTACACCGACATGCCACTTAGGGCACGAGATTGCAACCGCACATACTGACTGTTCCCACTGTATCCTCTTTTCCCTCTTTTCGGTGCGCTTATGATCCTCCGTCATTGGGTCTAACTATTCAGGATATAAGCAATTTAGAAGGAAGCCTCGTCTGCTCGTTATTGTTCTGAATGGAGGTGTGTGTGTGTGTGTTCGGCATGGACCTCTATTTGCGATTTTTGGTCTGCTGGATTCAGAGGGATGCGAAGGACAGTATTTTGCCATGGCGTCCAATGCGTTTGTTTTGATTTTTTTTCTCGATCATCGTAGCACATCAATGAAAGAATTTATTAGGCTTCAAATTGATTACACAAAACACTGAAACTTTTTATATGGAAATTCCAAAACTAGTTCATTGATCTCAAAAAGCCCTTTGCCCCATTGCACCAGTTTTGGAGTAAATTAAACAGAAGGTGGGTACCAAAATGCACCAAACTCAATGTGAGGTAAATGCATTTCATATTGGATTTGACAGCCACGGCATACCCCTTGGCTAGATTGGAACCGGGAGTGGATCTTGGGAAGAATAGCAAATGGTTTGCCTTCGCTTGAAGCGGCAGCAGCAGCTGGGTAACTCAATTAAGACTTTCACTGCTGAATGGTGATGAACTCACATGGCCGAACGAAAATAGATCTGGAGACGCGGGCGGCGCGCTCTGTTTGCCCCCATCTCTGTCATTCACGGTTCGGAACCATAAATTTACCACTCGTAAATGAAATGAATTAACTTTTCTTTTCCTCTATATGTTCCACATTTGCAGTGCTCAAAGATGAACCGGACGATCTAACGCATCTGGCTCCGACAGCAGGCGACGCGTGTATTCCGCTGGAGGAAACCGGTCCGTTCTTCAACGATGTGTTCGACGATTTCATGATCCCCGACAACTACACATCGTTGCTCCAGGATGACCTCAGCTCCCTGGACAGTACCGACCACCAGCTTCGTTCCAGCTCCAGCATATCGGTTGCATCCCCGATCACAATCAACGATTCAGTCACAACCGCCATGTCCCAGCATCACCATAGCCCGAACAGTAGTAGCAACTGCAGTAACAATTCCGCCTCCTCCTCGTCATCGTCATCGTCATCCACCTCTTCGGCGGCGGCATCATCGTCGTCGACGACGTCGTCAAGCTCAGCATCGACCTTGCCTTCCCTGGCATCGGTAACGTCGGGTATTGGATCGGCAATTTCGTCGATCGTTTCGCAGAATGGCTCGGGACAGGGTGGCCAGAACGGGCAGACCGTCGTCGTCGGTTCCGGAGCGAGCAACGATCCGTTCATTAACTACCGCGACGAGATTACCGAAATCAGCCATTCACCGCAGCATTTACTGTCGCCCGCACTGTCGAAGGTTAGTATCTTGATTCGTTCACTACGGGGCAGGGTTTGCAGTCAGCGAGATGCGCATATTGAACCGCCAACAACGGATCTTTTCTACCTCGGATCCAATTTCGAACCGCATGAAAATAGGTAACGCTACATCAAATTAAGTGAAAAGGGTTGACATCATAGTAATTAAGCAGAAAGCTCCTATCCGCTTGTTTTCGGTACCGGATGGTACGGCCAAAAGCTCGAGTTTGTTCTCCCGGAAGGAAATTCTATCACTTTTCTTGATCCTGTGGTTGACAACTTCCACATTGGTTCGCTTCCCCTTCCAAGATTTGCAATGAAAAATTATCCCCTCCGGAAGCGGCCACCCCATCCCATAATCGCACAACCTGTTGATTCATCAGAACAAACGCCAAGCAAGAATACTGAACTAACTGATTAATGATTCAAATCATTACACGCCCCAGCCACCGACGACGTGAACACAATTTAACCTGTAGTACCTGTAGGCTTGCAAGCAAAGTGATGTTAAAGTTATTAGCACCCCCAAGGTCTGACGACCTGCTCCTTGCACTGACCAATTTACATAATCAAGCGTCATAACAGTGGCGACGAAAAAAAAAAACTTGCTAATCATCTCACTGACCGCCCCCCGACGGCAGGATCTAAACCTTTAAAAAAACCATATCACACATCTAATGATAACTCGGCTCTCGAGGCGCAGTGTCGCTGTTACAGTGCATGGGTTATGTGAATCGGATGTTGTCTATTCCAGTTCACCGGTAGATGGATGTATAGTCGGTGATAATTATCTCTAATTTTTATGGCCACCACAATTAAAATTGATGGAGACATAACGAAGAAAATTTCATACCCCTGGGTAAAGAGCAGTTTGCAAAATTCGGCCGGTAATATATTCATATTTATAATTAAATAAATGTAATTTAGGTAAATTACCGGAGTTGATTATCATCAACCTTAAACCGAACCCGCAAACCATTTAGGATTTCCCAACCTTCCAACCAATGTCAACCGCGTGGGTCGTACGTGTGCCAACTAAGGCGACAACCAATGGCAAGTTTTCGTTGTGTCCAGATAAAAGTCAAAACAAACAACGGATCGCTTCGCACTTCATTAATGAGAACTTATCAACGTCAGGTTGATGCAGGTAGAGGAGAGCAGTGGTTGACTGCTCTACTCTCTTTCTGTCAGTCAGTCGCTCTCTCTTTCTTATCTAGTACATAGGTAGCTCTGCAAGTGCGACCCAAAGACCGATATCGTTATCAAAAATGTTATTAATTTGCTATCAGCTGTGGATGGTCGCGGCTTGTAAACGGGGCCAACGTACTCATCGGATGAGACGAAATTATTTTCCCACAAGAAGACTTAAGGTGTTGCGCTGGTTGGGGCCTATTGGCGGCTGTTTTCAGGCATTCAGGAACTGCGATAGAATCTCGAATGGTGAAGGTCTTGAAAAAATATGGACTATTCGATGGAAGAAAATTGTCGCTGTGCGTCCAATTGGCATACCACCCTAAGCAGGTGAAACAATCGCGCTATAAAATTAACTGTTTTGTTTATCCGCAAAAAGAGCAATTTCATTCCATTTGAAACGATTACAGCCAAGGTGAGGATTTGACTTAAGTGTGGCGTGAAGCGGTAAAGCGATTGATTCCGGTTGGAATTTGTTGAATCATTTGATCGAATCCACTGCCAACTGTGAGTCGACTATTCCGTTTTACTAATATGTCAGTCTAATTTTTGAAATTAGAAACTCAGTTCATAATTCGGTTCCAAACATGTTCACCCAACTTTCGGAAACATACTAATGTTAGTCAAAGCAAAATAACTTTAGAAAGCACAATGCACATGACTTCACAAATCTTAATGTTGCACAACTATGACAGACAAGTGGCCTTCAACTTGTTTTAGTCAACTTAAATTCAGTTTACCTTTACCTGTGCTCAGTTAAGAATCTATGAAATAACAAACGTTTTAATTGCATAAATGGAGTGGTTATTTGATTGTTTTATTGTAGCATATTAAACAACCAATAGAATGGATTAAACCTCATATATACAATATAGTTCACTATTCGTTGTCCTCTTTTCTTTCGAGAAAGATTGCATATTGTCGGTTTCGTGCAATACAGGCACAACTCAAAATCTGTGAATTTCCACAATCAACGCGTTCCAACGTATCCATGAATAATTCAATAAAATAGGAGAAAGCGGGGTAAAATTACCCATAACATTCACAGAGCCTTGCGGTGACCGATACCACTTCCATTCGATTCTCCATAGATTTTTACAGAGGATTAGCCCCATTTTATCGATCGTACGTCCCTCCAAGCCAAGATCCCAGCAAACAATTTTCCATTTTTTTAGCTGAAAAGGCACATGTTTGCTTGAATAAGCTCTCATTTAGCTTGCAATGTTTTGATTGGGATATCCAAGATTGTTCAATAAAATAGGGGGAAGCAGGGTAAAATCGGCCATAATTCACATTGCATTTATCTTCTCCATTCCAATTCTCAATTGAGATAATATATTTTGACCGTACTACATATTAAATGGCTCTAATGTTGGCCTCTGGATCTATGATTGGGCCCATCGATAAAAATTTTCTATTTATCAATTTTATCTAAATGAACGCGTCATTCGGACGGTACTAATGGATATTTTTGATCGCTGCTGAAAATTTAGTCTATTGCTGAATTTATGTATGGGCCCAAATCAGGGGCATCCATTTCCCCTGCTGTATTCTTTAGGTTCAAAAGTTAAGTGAAATAATAATCTATGCTTCAAGTAAGGATTTGGGTTTTATCATGCGATAAAACTTGTGATGGTACTTGAGATATTTTACCATATTTTGCTGTTTCTATTAAACCGAGAAAACTAGGTTAGACAACCGGGAAAACCGGAAAACAGGTATTTAAATTCTTAAATAGAGTGGCTTGAGTCAAGTCCGACATCTTCAAAAAAGAAATTAGATCGTACAATTTATTTATTTTTTCCATTGTCTATGATCGCGAGAAATCACAAAATTTTCTGAGGTTTCGAAAAAATTAACTCTGGTCCCGATATCTTGCCTTTTTTACTTCGTCATCTTGAAGGTTTTCCAAGCCTAAGGTGTTCAAAAATGGTATAGGAAACTTTTCAAGCATTAGTATTTGTCCAAACGTCGAAAAATTATGTTCATTCTCCTTAGAATTAACCAGGAATTCCCCATGATGTCCTTTTCTCAAATCCCTTAGGGGCTGTTCATAAACTACGTAGACAGATTTTTGGGATTCTTGACCTCCCTCCCCCTGCGTAGACAATTGTCCATACAAAATTTTTTTAATTTGTATGGGCCGTGGATAATTGTCAACCCCCCTCGCCCCTAAATTGTCTACGTAGTTTATCAACAGCCCCTTATGATTCTAATTTCATAGGACTCATACTCAGAATAATTTTGAGATTTTGATTTTAATCAAAACTCCGTTGATTGGCAGGTTTATTTGAAAATTTTCCATCTGTCAAATTTAAGTGAAAATTCACCAAATGAAACACAGCTCAAGACCGCGATTATCCGTTTCAAAAGAAATCAAACCATCTATGCAGAAGAAGCTCTGCGAGAACTGCATCCCATCCCCTAGGAATACTGGCTGTACGTCGCATGCTGCTTTACTGACTGTGATTTGCCGCTGACATACGGTTTCGAAAACGAAGAGGAACCTTTATTGGAACCAAGATATTCCATTGTTCGTCGTATTCGCGTCAAGAAATTGCAAGTTGCTGGACCTGATACTTGGCTACCTTCACTCGGATCCAGCAATCGACTACAGCCGATTGTCTTTTATCCCAAGCCGGAGGATCACTACATGTGGACACTTCAAACTGGTTCTACATAGGAAGGGACTAGTTCCTGTGGATTCATTTGGACTAACTTATTAAGATCGTATCTGATTTTATCTATTTGGACTAAATTTACATGATTCTCTAAAATTTGACAAATTTTTAGTTGAGTTTTCTCCACGCATCCAATTTTTTGTGCCTTTGAAATCATCATTGAACGCCAAATGGATTGTCTGCACATTTTTGAGCATGTGGTGGAACATTGCTGTAAATCATATATGTTTAAACATTATATTATATACCAGCCTAAGGGAATCAAAGGATTTGTTGACTGGACGAGGGTTCGTGGATTTGTCAGTCCCTTGTCACGTGATTACAGATGGCCATCTGGTCGTTTTGTGCTCCAAAGGTCTTCAATGATGCTGATTCACCCTGCTGCAACAAACTATTAGGCAGAACTTTTCAACCGGTAAAGTATTTGCAGACATTGGTAATCCTTGCACTGATGGTGGGTTCCATTCACATCACATCACACAAACGTCTGGGTTACTTCCACTCATTTGCTATAAAAAATTGGTTGAATTATGAAAACATTAGATGTTATGATGATAATTAGTACTTGGAAGTTACAAGAAGAGGGCGTTAAGTGTGTGTTTGAAACATAAAACCTGTCAATATTGCTTTCAGTGCGTCACAATCAGCGATTAAACGATTCGTGGGCGCTCACTCTGAGTGAACGCTCGCGAATCATAAGATCGCTGATTGTGACGCTCTGAAAGCGAAATTGACAGGTTTTATGAGTCAAACATATACTTTACACCCTTTTTTTGTTATTTACAAGTACAACATATCATTATATCATCTAATGTTTTTATAATTCCGAAAAACATTGTTTTAAAGCAAGTGAGTAGGTGCAACCCTGAGTAGAATATTCTTCTTTTTTTCAGAAGTTCTTTTCCAAGACCAAGTCCAACAAATTGTATTTTCTACAAGCCCGGAATCAACAAATTTCTAAACCCAGATTTTAGAAAAATTCTAATTATTTGTTTGCATTAGAGATCGCGAATTACCAAGTCCCAGCATTAAACACAAAAATGTCCAATATCTCTAAAATGTATACCAGAATCTTACAACTTTTTTCAAGATCGAGATTTTAAATCATAAACGCGTGTAAAATTGTCTT